TGATGTGCCCTAGGACTCTTCAAGGGGAGAACGTAGTATATTTTAGACATGTGCAATTCGTTTCGGTCCGAATATGAATTCGGACAAATTTCGGGCAACAGCCGAAGTGCCGAATTGCTGAGGTCCCGAAGTTCCGAAATTACCGAATTTATGAAGTTCCGAAGCACAGTATTGCCTAAGTACTAATATACTTACCCAGTGGAAGAAGAAGAATGTTACACTGTATGCAAGTTTAAATAAAAAGTATACAAACATAGCCAGGATTCAGTTGTAAGCATTTGCAACACTTACAACAATCAAGTAACATACATTCATATAAAATGTAAGTTACTTAGCCTGTCAATGGAATGACAGGAATGAATAAGTAGATAACTCCCTAATTCCCACGGTATTAGGGAACTAGCTCCTAAAAGGCTGAAAGACCTAAATTGGCTAGTTAATCCACCAATCAGAGAGTGTTATGAGTCAAATTACACAGCGTGGGAAAATTCCAAAGAACTTTACCACGCTGTGTAAAATGAAACAGAGCACTCTGATTGGTGGATTTCAAGCTAACCAATCAGAGTGCTGTGACAGGTAAATGTAGAAACTTACCTGTCAGTCTCTTCATTTACCTGTCAGAGCACTCTGATTGGATGGCTTAAACCCACCAATCAGAGTGCTGTGAGCCAAATTGCAGGGCGGGGCAAGGCTTTATAAGCCTTCCCCCGCCCTGCAGAGCTCAGTCTGCGTGGAGCCCTCCATGGGTGAAGATGGATAATTTTTTTTTGCGCTCATTTTTTTAATTTATTTTTTTAAGTGCGTTGGTTATGGCTTTTTATTTGGCCTTTGTTGGGTCTGAAAAAAGAAGATTTTAGAAGAAAGAAAACATCAAATGGTAAGTTTTTTTTTGTTTTGTTTGTTTTTCAGGTACTTAGTTAAATGGTCCCTCCTCATTATTTTTAGGATGAGGGGGGTAGGTAGGGGTTAATTTTTTTGGGGGGAGGGGGGTGACTAGGGGTTTGTGGACCCCTAGTCACCTGGGGGAGGGGGGGTTAGTTTTTTTATTTAGGGCCCCCACCCGCCGCTCAGGGGTGGGGACCAGGGGGAGAACATTATGCCCCCCCCTCATTCTAATTTAGGGCCCCCACCCACCGCTCAGGGGTGGGGGCCAGGAGGGAGGACATTAGGTCCCCCCCAATTAGTATTTAGTGCTCCCACCTGCCGCTCAGGGGTGGGGGCCAGGGGGAGGTCATAAGCTCCCCCCTCATTCTAATTTAGGGCCCCCACCCACCGCTCAGGGTTGGGGGCCAGGGTGGAGGACATTAGGTCCCCCCCAATTAGTATTTAGTGCTCCCACCTGCCGCTCAGGGGTGGGGGCCAGGGGGAGGACATAAGCTCCCCCCCCATTCTAATTTAGGGCCCCCACCCACCGCTCAGGGTTGGGGGCCAGGGGGGAGGTCATAAGCTCCCCCCTCATTCTAATTTAGGGCCCCCACCACCGCTCAGGGTTGGGGGCCAGGGTGGAGGACATTAGGGCCCCCCCTCATTCTAATTTAGGGCCCCCACCCACCGCTCAGGGGTAGGGGCCTGGGGGGAGGAGATTAGGTCCCCCCCTAATTAGTATTTAGTGCCCCCACCCACCGCTCAGGTGTGGGGACCAGTGGGGAGGACATTAGGTCCCCCACATCATTCTAATTTAGGGCCCCCACACACCGCTCAGGAGTGGGGGCCAGGGGGACATTACCCCCCCTCATTCTAATTTAGAGCCCCCACCCACTGCTCAGGGTTGGGGGCCTGGGGGGAGGACATTAGGTCCCCTCCTAATTAGTATTTAGTGCCCCCACCCACCGCTCAGGTGTGGGGACCAGTGGGGAGGACATTAGGTTCCCCCATCATTCTAATTTATGGCCCCCACCCACCGCTCAGGAGTGGGGGCCAGGGGGACATTACCCCCCCCTCATTCTAATTTAGAGCCCCCACCCACTGCTCAGGGGTAGGGGCCAGGGAGGAGGACATTAGGTCCCCCTCTCATTCTAATTTAGGGCCCCCACCCACCACTCAGGGGTGGGGGCCAGTGGGGAGGACATTAGGTGGCTCCCCCCTTATTCTAATTTAGGGCCCCCACTCGCCGCTTGGGTGGGGCAATAGGCCCCCCCTTTAGTTTAAAAGCCCACACTCGCGCATCGCGGGTGGGGGACACTTTTTTTTTTAACAGTTTACCAGACATGCCCCTACTCGCGGTATTGTGAGTAGGGGCATAATTTACTAATACTACTTAGTATTAGTAAATTTGGCTGAAAGACCAATTTAGGTCTTTCAGCCTTTTGGTAGATAACTCCATAAAACCGTGGGAATTAGGGAGTTATCTACCAAACGGCTGCAAGAGAAGTTCCGAAGTTGCGAAGTTCCGAAGTGCCAAATTCCCGAATTTTGGAATGCCGAACTGAACAATTTTCCCATGCACATGCCTAGTATATTTGATGTGCCCTGGGACTCTTCAAGGAGAGAACGCAGTATATTTGATGTGCCCTGGGACTCTTCAAGGGGAGAACGTAGTATATTTGATGTGCCCTGGGATTTTTCAAGGGGAAAACATAGTATATTTGATAAACTTGGATGTGCTCTGGGATCACACAATAAGATACCTATCCACATGTAGAGAGAGGTATAGAATGTGAGCACCAGATGGAGAATCCCTCCGCACACCATATTATAAGGAAAACCTCAGCCTTTAAAACCCACTCAGGACAAGGCTACCACAGTATCAACAGGTTTACTAGTCTATTCCATGTGACACAGTATTGTTCATTGTGTTGTTGGTCTCTCATACCTTCTGTTTCTGACAACTCTGCAGTGACGGTAAGGGGTCCGGCTTCAGAGAGGTTCTTCCTTTTTTTACTGGTTTCTTCCATTTTTATTTTCTCAATTATTTCTAGTTTATCTGCAAGCTTATCTACAATTAAATTGCCTTTGAACTCTGTCTTTGTGTCTTCTACAAGAAGTAATGGTCTCTCGCCCTCATGGACTGTTATGGTCACTTCAGCTGGGCGCAAGCTTTCCTGAGGAGATTCAGGACTTCCACTGTCCTGCTCTGTTGTAGTTTGTCCATTCTGCAACAAAATGTTCTTTTTGTCACGTGCACTGCATTTTACTTCATCCTCGGTGTGAATAGAAATCTGGTCTTCTAGACTCACCCTGAAGCTTCTGCATTCAGTGTTCTCATCCTCACGTAGAACCTCTGTCTCCAGAGGTGGACTTGGCCGGTCCTCAGTTTGAGTCTCTCTTTCCTCTGTTTGTACAGTTTGATCATCGTGGTCACAAGACAAAATCTGTCTGTCTTTATTTTCGCACAGCGAGTCTTCAGTCTGTATCTGGCTCTCTTTAGTTTGGATCTGTATGTCCACCTCGTGGTGGGTCTCTCTGTCCATCTCACTGAAAAATTGAATAATCTCTGTAGTTTGTATTCCCACTGCTTCACTTGTGTCTATCAACATCCCATCAGACTGGAATTGTAGAACTTCAAGTTGGATCTTCTGCTCATTAGAATGATTT